ACTGTACACAGGTAAGCTGAGGTCAAGGGATCGACCCCTGGGATCTGCATCGGCTACTGCCAAAGGTGAAAACTGTTTCACTTGTGGCGTGGGACACACAGTGGTTTCTCTGTGTGCTACAACACACCATTAGCAGGTCAGCCAAGACCCAGGTCATGGAGCGCCCCGGGGTCCCTGGAGGTTCCCTGCCACCGAATGAGCATTAGCCTCGGAGACCCGTGAGGGCTTACAGGAGTAGATCAACCAGGCTAACTTAGGCAGGGGTGAGGGGAGGTATATCCTTCAGAAGGAAGCGATCACTGCCGCCCCCCTTGGATCTCTATGGCTATATCCTTCAGAAGGAAGCAATCACTGCCGCCCCCTTGGATCTCTCAGCCATAATGGGGAGAAGTGTGGGGTTTATGTCATGTATTCTGAATGACTTGCTGGTGGAAAAGGAACCGGACTGATGCTCCCCAGAATGGACAAGGAGCCGGGACTGCAAGGTCCTGTTTTTGTAAGGGGAAAAAAAAAAATGCCTTTTCAGCGTCCCTTACGTAGAAATACCCACACAACAGTTCCCCGCTTTACGGCCCAGGGATACCCAGCAGCATTGATACTTCCCTCGGGAAGGATTGACTGTCGGTTGAGCCCAGACAGAAGTGAATCCCCCAAGCCCCTTGATTTGCTATCCCTTTAATAAACATGCCTGAAAATGTCCAATGTCCCTCTTAGCTTTGGCTATGAAGCTGCCAGATAGGCGCCAAATGCTAGGACTGAACTGTCCCCTCAACAGGACGTGGGCTAGGATGAACTCCCTGTGTTGTGGTCTTGCCTTCCTTTAGTGGGCCCATCTGCGCGAACCCATACTGAAGCTTTGCATGCCGGGCATGCTGTGTACGAGGCCGCCCACTGATAGGGTCTCTCCTCCGATGGATGTTCCCGCTGTCTTTTGCCACTTGAACTTTATTCTTTCTGCTTCCAACAACCCAATGCTTCCGGCCGCCAGTACAACCTTGTTAAGCCTGTCTTTAATTTTCTGCTCCTTGTCTGGGTTCTTACACATTTCCTCCTTAGCTTTCACCCAATCTATGCAGTTCCAGTTGCTCCTCCCCCACTTGAGGCACCTGCAGTCTTCTCCTGTCAATTTTTTGATGGTTTAGTAATTTTCTGTCCTAGGGGTGGGAATTTTCAATGCATTGCTCATCCTGATGATGGCATTTTCCTTTTGCGGGTTTGGTGCGGCTATGCTTGTGGTGTTGGTTGCATTATGCTGGTCTTGTGGTGGTTGATTATGCATATGATCGTCAGGAGGATCGGTCTGCGCTCTCTCTTCTTGCTCGTTGATCGACCAGTCGGACACAGTTGCTTTAGCCCCTGATGGTAAGCATAGCTCCAAAAAGAACGTCATGGAACTTGATGGGAATTGAATCTCACTCCATCTTTTCTCATTTCCCCACCCTTTAAAGAAAAAATGAGGGCATCATGGATGGTGGTTGATTTATTCAGAATATTATATAAATTCGCCTGCACTTATCAGCACTACTAGCACCCGGGGATGTGTTAAAATATATATATATATATATATATATATATATATATATATATATATATGTCTAAGCCTCTATGAATCTATGGGCATACTCACGCTTATCCCATGCTTTCATGTATCCGAAAAGTCTGGCTGGAGAGGTGTTGCGAGGTCGAACACGGGATCAAAACACTGGTGTCTGTCTCCATTGCGAAACTGAGTAAGGGTTGATTGGGAAGGAAGGGGAAACACATCCTCACACATGACACCACAACCTTCAGGGATTCAAGGGCCATCTCAGGTTCAGGTTGCTGGCTCGTTTTTTGGTTTGAAATTTGAAATATCTTCTTGGGTCATTCGTGGGTGTGAGCTTTGGGTGTTTTGGGGAATATTTTGGGGGGGGGAGGGGGGTCGCAGCGTGGAAGGACAAGGGGGAAGGAAATAATGCCCAAAAGAAATAAGGTTTGGATTTGAAATATCTTCTTGGGTCATTCGTGGGTGTGAGCTTTGGGTGTTTTGGGGAATATTTTGGGGGGGGGAGGGGGGTCGCAGTGGAAGGACAAGGGGGAAGGAAATAATGCCCAAAAGAAATAAGGTTTGCACTGCTGGCAATAAATTGGCGGATGAATCTTGCCATAGCAGTACGCCCGATGAATAGACTGACGGTGGACTCACCTAGTGAGACACAAAGGGGGAAAAAGTTGTGGAAAGTTCCGTCACAAACAGAACTGCTCATAAATAGTAGGAACGGCAAACTTGTCGATAATTTCCTGCTGCTTGAGCAGGAAACTATCGACAAATTCGAAAAGCGCCGGGGGAATGGAAAGCTGGGGGACATCCAAGGCAATACACCAAGGCTCGTCTGGAAGATCGCAGGCACCCGTCAACGAGGATGTCACGAGGCACCAACGGTGCCGCTGACACCTGTTCACTCACAAGCAGAAAGTGTTAATCTGATCACAACAGGATAAACGGGGAACCAGGGTTTAGTGTCTCCACAGAAATGGCAAGAAGGGTACATAGGGAGACGTAGAACGTCGGATACAAGGAATGGGAAGAGTCAAAAGATTGAAGGACCAGCGAAACCAGGGTAGGAGAGGACATAACAGGAGTAGGGATACAAGCTCCGAGGAGACAGCAGCTTAAGTTTCTTACTTTATTTCTGTTTGTGGCACTTTGTGCTTATTTGTCCAGTTTTATTTTTGTTCAAAGCCGCAGACAAGGGGACTCTGTCCAGGCCAGGGTCCAGTACAGCATTCATGTATCAGGTGGGCTGGAGTTGTGCAGACTGGCTGTAGTCCGTCTATCAGCTCACTTCTTTGTTGCAGTGTGTTTGGGCAGTACACTTCAAATATTCTAAAATGTTCCTCCTTAAGGGTAAAGTCCGTCCTAACCCATCATCCCTCCTGCTGAGTGTTATTTGTTTAGCTGTCTCCGATCAAGAGTGTATCAGTAGCACAGTACCTGAAGAGCCTGGCCTAGGGGCCGGAGCTCAGTGCCGCTGCTTAACCTATCTAAGCCTCCTTAGGACTTCTTCCTGGACTGCACAGTGCTCAGGCGAGTCTGTAAGGTGGGCTTCTTGTAGGCATTGGGATGCCGGGCGGCTGAGCTCCATACCAGTCCAAAGCGTTGACCACGTTCCATTTCTGTTTGTTGCTGAGAATCGTTGCCAAGCAATTGATGTTCCACGGGAGTATTCGCAGGTCTGGTGCATGTGACGCTGATCTGTGTCATGTCAGTTCCCCCGCCGTGTCTATGTTGACCTATAGGTGGCACCCCTGTGTTGCTGCTTGCACCCTCTGTTTTTAGTTTGTGTAGAAGCTGGCCTCATGCTTATTTATTAGTGCCTGCAACTTCGTGTCCCAGCTGGCCTGATCCGTAAGGAAGAGCCTGTGGCCTGACACCAGTGCTGCTCCTAAGGCTGCCCTCTCTGGAGCGACTCCCTGTCCCAGCAGTCCGTAGGGGCTGGCTTCCACCACCTGCCACGGAGTCCAAATCAGCTCTTCTTTCAGCCGTGACTGTTCTGGCAGCTGCACGAGGGCTGGCCTGGGATCTGTTGAATGCAGTTCCCCGGACTGGTCCTCCCAGTCCTCTGTGTTACCCGTCCTCTTGGCCAGGGTAAACAGGGGTGTGATGGCCTTCTTGAATCGGGTGGCCAGCATGCCATCCTGAGGACCTTGGTGGTGACAGCGATCAGCCCCCCCGGCTTGTGTACTGTCACCTCCACGACGTCCAAACCAGCTTTTCTTTCAGACGTGACTTGCCCAGGGTAAACATGGGTGTGATGGCCTCCTTGAATTGGGTGGCTAGCGTGCCATCCTCGAGGACCTTGGTGGTGACAGTGATCAGGGCCCTCGACTTGTGTACTACCACCTCCCAGTCCTCGTGGGTCTTATTCCATCTGCAGGGTATGATGACGCACTTGTCTTCCCAACTCCGGGTGTCCAGTCTTGCTGCCGCCTCTATCTCCTTAGTCGTCCCGTTTGCTATTTTCCGGAGGGTCATGTTTTGCGTCTCCAGCTCCTTATTCTTTTCCTTCAGGGAGGCCACAGGTGCCTCTATTATGCTTTTCCTTCTGCGGAGGTCCGGCCTTGATCCCAGTTCTGTGCAGACTCTGTGGTCAGTCTTTGACTGCTCAGTGGGGGTTGTGTTGTTTTCTTGCTCTTTTTAGATTTGTTTGGAAGCTCGTCCTTGTCCGTGTACGTTGCTGGCCAACAGAACTGTCATATGTCTGGCTGTCCACATGTATGCTCTCCCCTTCTATCCTGGTTTTCAGGCTGTATTGTTGTGCAAAGAACTCAGACAGCTCGCTCTTCTTTTGCAGAGCCTTGAATCTGTTCTCAGTCTTGACTGACTGCTGCGATCAAGAAATCCCCACCCCGGCCTGCTGCACTTTTCTGCTGTATCTGTGGTGGGCCATGTGAATTTCAAACTCAAGTTCTCTCACCCTTTTGAGACCCTTGACTGCTATTTCCAGCCACTCCCATCAGCGTCTTCCTCTGGTTCCTCCTGGAGTGGAGCATCTGCGCCCTCGTCATCTTCCTTGTTTGTGTCCTCCTCCGAGTCAGATCTCCTCTTCCTCCCACCTGGCCCTGTGGGTTGTTGCAGTTCTATGTCCATCTCACTGCCTTGCGCCATCCCTGTTGAGGGCGGTTGAGGCCGTGCTGGTCCACTGTCCTACCATTGCGGCCCCCTGCTCTTGCTTCTGAGATGGTCGGTCGTTTTGCTGTTGAAGTAAGTTTTTTCTGCCAACTCCCCTATCACAGCTGGTTCCTCCATCGTTTGAAGTTTCTGTCTGTCCTCTTCGATCCGTTGGTCGTTCAGGATAGTTTTAGTGATGTGCCCGACCCCTTTCTCCTCCATCCTCTTCGCTCCCGTCTCTCTCCACCTCCATATCCATCCTGGCGAGCATCAGTCCGGTTCCTATTCCCCCGACAAGTCAGAACAACGGTATTACATCATGTACCCACTCACGCACCCTTCCGTCTGGCTGAAGCGTCCCTGAACAGCGTTGATTACTCCATTTAATGGAGGATTGACTGCCAGCTTGCCTTTCCCTGTGATTCCTCTCAGGTTCCTCAGTGGAAAACCTGTCAGCTTAATCATTAATGCAAGAAAAACAGGGATCAACAATCGGCGTGATCCTGGACTGCCTTATGTAGCTCTGAAGTATTGTTGTTCTATACGGTGAGCGCTTCTTGCCTTTTGGGCCGAGGTAGAGTTGTGCCAATCCCTCCATCTGAGGTGAAGTCCATGAATATCTGTTATCTTCCCCAGAACCAGCCATACCCTCTTGAACTTGGTCATCATCTCTTGCTGCTTCTCCGGGTTCTGCTGAATTTGAACCTTGACTTTCTTCCATTGACAGAGAATCTCCGTTTGCATCAATGATTTCATCGTTGCCCATACCTTCTCTCTTAGATTGCTGGACCTCTCTAACATTCTGTTGCATCTCTCCTTCCATATGACCCAGAGTGTCACCTTCCATATTATCCCAAACCATATGCTTTCAGACTTGTTAAATTGTGTGGGAATGTTAGCCCATAGGAGTAGGTGGATTGGGTGTTCAGGAAGGGAGGAGGAGAATAGGTAATCCCATAGAACTGAAGCTCTTGCCCATTGGTCAGTAGCGTGCTTGCAAGTTATCAGACAGTGTATCACATCCTCCTGTTCGTTGTCTGAGCACATCACACATTGATCTGAGCTGTTCGGGTCATTATTCTTCCTTCTGACATGTAACCAGCTGTTCACGGGGAGAGCCGTCTTTTTCCACCTACTATCATACGGAGGGTAAATTTCCGGCTTGACTGTCAGCGCCCCTGTCAGTGTCTAGATCCAGCGGGGGATTCGAGGTTATTGTCGAACACCCACTCCCTTTATTGTGGCCTATATTTATGTATCAGACGCCTGCCCTGCCCACCCGGGAGGAGGGCTAAGGCAACCTCTGTTCTGCAACCAGTGGCTCAAGGAGAGGTCGGACAAGCCATGGCCCCTGACAGCGCGGGACAAAAGATGGGCTACATGAGTGGAGAGAGGCATCTGGCAGATAAAGCATTTATGGGGCGAAGATCACAAGCAATAGAAAACCCACATGGAACTCCGGGAGCTCCTGAAGGGATGCCATAAGCTGGAACAGAATCTGAACGACCTGCTGCTATCCGTCCCACAGGCAAGGACCGCACTACTCAAAAGGAGGCCTTCCTGGTCAATGGGCGAATGAGCGATTTGGAATTGGGAGGAACCCCCCACTGTAGCCCTGTCCTTAATCAAAAGGGACGGCCTGGGGGGGGATGGGGTCTGATGGGAATCTACGATATCGAGGAGCCAGGCCGGACTCTGTCAGGTCAACAAAACATGCAGGGTGCAGGTTGCAGTGAATCTCCACCTCCTCAGGAAAATCAGGTTGATAGAAGAAGAGGACTATTGGGTCTACGAAGCCACCATGCCTATCCAGAATCTTGAGCTAGACCCCGCTGAGTGGGCATGGAAGCTGGCATCCACGGTGGGCGGGGCAGAACGAACCGTCAACATCTTGACCTATTCCACGAGACTGGGATATAGGCTAAGATGAAGATCTGCAAACATCCACAACGCACTGAACCCAGCAGTGGGAGAGAAACATGCCCGGTGCACTAGGGGGTCTTCACGCAATACCCTGGAAGGCCGTGCTGGCAGTCCGGAACACTAAGATATGGCTTATAACGTACCAGGCACTCCTGGTTAACAAGTGGCTGAGCAGGCAAAGAACGCATATTAAATTATTAATGGACTTGCTCCTAATGACAACTGCACGGTTTGTGATAGAGGGGCGAGGACATCGCCCATTGCTTGTTGCAGTGCCTATAAGCTCAACAGCTTTAGTGCGGACCCAAAGAATTATGGAATGCCGTTACCAGCAAGGTCTTCGTGGAACCAAAAAGGCTGGCGAAATGGGAGTTGAAACTGTAAAGGAGACTGGGACCATTGGCGCTATGTGCAGTCTGGAAAAGGAGATGCAAGGGGATGATAGACGCAGAAGAACCCCCCCTTGAAGAAGCTTGGGAGGGCGTCAAGCAGGCATTACTAATAGAGTACCATACAGACTGGCACAAGGCCAGGAAACAGATCAAATTGGAGTCAGAAAAGAGACAGGATATCGTTAACAAATTTGTAAAGTACACCCTGGGAAGTGGGCGGCTGGGAACTTTTAAAAGCAACACGTGTAAGTTGGACTGGAGGTTTAGGGCAGAAGTGGGAGAGAGCACGAACCCGACAAGAGAGGCCTGCTCTGAGTGCAGTGAGACGGCGATCTCAGGAGCGAGTTTAGCGTTGGACTGAATACCTCAGATTGTAGGGGGGAGAGCCAGGCGACTGTCCGGTGCAGCGGTCTGGCTGCAACAAACTGTTCTTACGTTAGCCGGAACAGCTCACCTCCCAGGGTTCCCGGGCGGCCAACGCTGTGTAGTGCTGGGCCTGCGACCATGGACGGGAGTCCCCCAGCGGCTTAGGGTTTAGCAGCCAAAGAGCCCTGGCCACACAGAGAGGGGCAACTCCGAGTGGATACACAAGGGGGAGAGGGCAGTTACAGATGACACAGAAAGGTGAAACAGCGGGCTGGGACAGGGCACAAGGAGCCAGTAGCGGTAGGCTAGCTTAGGCAGGGGTGAGAGGAGGTACATCCTTCCACTTTGGAAATAATCAATGCCACCCACTCGGGTCTCTCTACCGTAAAGGGGAGAAGTGTTGGTGTGAGTTGTATTCAGAGCATACATACGGCACATCACATGCACGCAAGTTGCGCACTTGAGCCGCACAGCGCATGCGCACATGATGCGGTGCATTTACTAAATAATAAAAAAACAAAAATCAGAAAGGGTAGGCTGTGGTGCCCATAAGTGTCCCTCCCTTTTAAAAATTGTAAGTGCACAGAAAAAGAATATTTTGGGGCCTCTTCGTACTACGCATTGGTAATATTCTCCTTTCCAAAGGGTCCCCTGCTGAGAATCAGCACGGACCCCATTCATTTGGAAGGGCGTTCATTGCAGTGGTGGAAGAACACGATCAGGCCAGCAATATATTCTGGATTGGGATTCAGGTCTGCGTTCCAAGAGTTATGGGTTACAAACTTACTACAAACACTGCAGTAGCTGTCTCGTTTTTTTGTTTTTCCTTTTCTTACGTGCAGTGGCCCTAAGGGCCTCACTCCACTCATCAGCACTTGCAGAAAAGAATTACGTATGGCTTGTATGGTTCCAGTTTCTAGGGGAAGATTTCTTCTAGTTTGGCACATTTGGTGAGTAGTGGAGTGAAGCCCTGAAAATCACATGCCGAGTTAGTAAGTCAGTAACCCATAACTGCTGAAACACGGACCGGAATTCGAAGCTACACCATATATAACCGGCCTGTTCCCTCCTTACCACAAGTCCAGTGACGACCCGTCCAGTGACCACCCTTCTCCTGCCGACGTGACCCTTGCCAATTTTTGGCAGGGACCTTTTGAAGTACCAGCAGGGGTTGTCTGAACGCTCTGTGTTCTCTCTCTCTCTCTCTCTCTCTCTCTCTCTCTCTCTCTCTCTCTCTCTCTCTCTCTCTCTCTTTCTCTCTCTCTCTCTCTCTCTCTCCAGCGTGTATGCACACATCACGGTTGCTTCTTCTTCTTCCTTTTTCTTTTTTTTTGTCTGCACGCGCGCATCTGCGATTAGCGCACCACGCAGCACGCTGCGCAGCGCACTTCATCTACGCGCCGCAAGTATGATTCAGAGGTTTGACGTGCCGGCGGAATAGGAACCGGACTGACGCTCCCCAGAATGGATATGGAGCTGGGGCCAGAAGGTCCTGTTTTTCAAAAAAAAAAAAAAGGCATTTGATATCGACTGGCTTCAATGTCAGAGGGTTTGTGTCTCTGGAATTGTATTGCTTTCTGGTTGCAGATTTGTGTTTTGTTTTTGCTTATATGGTTTTATTGACGGTTTGTTTGACTGTTTTCGAATGTGTGCTCTGGATCGGATGACATGGATTGCTGGCCTTGTGAACTCTATTTCAGGAAAGCTTTACTTGGGAGTAACGAAGGATACATATCAAAGGCTTGGCCTCCCCGGTGAGTGCTGGTAGAAGAAGAACCCTTGCCTGAATGTCCCCTCCATTCTACGAAGTCTTCAGGCCAGTCCAATCAACCAATCGACCAATCAACTAATCAACCAATCAACCAATCAACCAATCAACCAATCAACCAATCAACGATTTAATTGGCATAATACCAATCTGCTTCAGTCATAACCATAGCTAACAATCTGGACAGCTTCGGTTGGCGATTCAGACAATATTATCAGTTACCTGCTCATATTCATTACAGGTCCAGGTTACCAGAGTGGCCCTGGACCACTTGCCCGGCCAGGCCAAAAAAGAATTACAAAAAATAAAACAAAAAAATAATATCTTTACCGGGCAGCTCTGTTTGACGATATATATATATCGTCAAACAGAGCTGCGTGGTAAACCGTAGACAGAGAGGGAGAAGAGGACAATATTTTTGAATTTTACTTCTTATTTTTAATTTGTGAAAGAATTTCGATGTGACCCTGAGGCAAGAGTTGTCCAGTTAACTTTTCACAACATAGTTTTTTCCCGGATTTTTTGCATTGTTTTTTTTTTTTTTTTGCAGAGACATTCCTGGGTTTTGCGGCACACGCAACCAAGGCGACTGGGGCGGCCTGTTGGTAACACAGCTACAGCTATTATTTAGCTTCATTTATTTTCAGAATTTTGTGTTCAGAAAAAAAGGAAAACAATCAATGTCAAAGTTAGTTAAACATGATGTACGACTTGTAGTGCGAGCAATTTTTGGCTGAGAATATGTAAATTGAAGGGGGGGAAGTTCAAAGAACCTTTCAAAGTGTGAGTTATTTTGCAGAAACGTTTCCCCTTGGCTGCCCCCTTTCACCCCCACCCCCTTTTCCACGTCAGATCCAGGTCTCTGCACACTGTCCATTGAGATCAAATTTCAATATCTGCTGACTGTTTCCTAACGGTCCACTGGCTTGATTAGGAAAGGCAACCTGGACCTGTCCCCAATCTGGTTTGCATTTGTGCCCCCGGTCAAGTTTGGTTTTCGATATACTGTTTCCCAATCGTCCTGGTCCCACTGCCCCGGATAGGAAAAGCAACCTGGACCTGTCCCGATTCTGGTTTAGACTGGGCCCCTCGATCAGATTTGGACATCTCCGTACTATTTCCTTACGGTCCAGGTTCCACTGTCTCGATTTTGGTGTACAGCAGTGGGTCGGGTGTCTGGGTCTGGCACAACTATTCAAGCAACCCTCCATCTTGACTCGGGCCATCAACCAATCAATTAGTTGGGGGGGGAAAGAGAATAAAAGTCAATCAAGAGATCACTGCATAGATCGCGTCACTTCCATCGGTCATCGCTCGGTTGTGCAGGCTTGGAAGGGAAAGTGCGGCAGAAAAGTACAAAAAACTCTTCTGTACTCTAAACCTTCATGTGTGTGTTGTCATGTCCACACAAAAATCGTGACTGTGCCAGACTCTTTGGTCTGACTTTCACCAACTTGTAAGGTGTGTAGGTGTGTGTGTGTGTGTGTGTGTGTGTGTGTGTGTGTGTG